TTTTTCTTCTTCCGTAGAACGAACTTAATTATTTTTTTAGTAGTTGTAAATATTGTTTAAAATTAGGAGGTCAAAAACTGTACACTACTATTATACATATATCTAATACAGAAATCATACACAATCGATTACTTGGCACTAAACAAAAACCGAAGAAGAAGATGAAAAAGAATAAGTAAAGCTTTTAAATTTTTCTCTTGTAATCTTTTACATGCGCTATTACGAAAAAAAAATCTTAATTTTATGAAAGAATTATATAATCATTTATAGATAACGACCCTTTTTTTTTTAATGGAATAATATTATAAAACAAAATGTAAAAACGTTACATTCTTTTCGGTCAATTTGGTTGTAACTATATTATTTTGTGTATACAATCTGAATATAAGCAAATAGTGATCTCGATATAATTTTCTATTATTTCGTTCTTTTATTCGTAAATTATGCACATTCTACACGTATGTCAACACTGCGAATAAAATAACTAATACCCTTTTTCTGTGATTATATAATATAATCGCTTCGCTACAAATATGAATAATTATCACAAATCACGTTCCTTTCAATTCCTCCTTCAGTTAGTAGTTAAACGACGAGCAAGATATCTACCTCCTGCGCTTAATCTTTTTTTAGTTTATTTTGATTATAACAATTTTCTCTGGTGAGAGCGTGGAAGTTTGAACACCTATACGTAAAAAAAATCGCTTGAAACGTGATTTTTATCCGACAGAATTTGATTTTGCGACGTAAAAATTGCGTCAAAAGAAGCACATCCGCTGCTTTTTCTTTTCTTATATCTTTTATCATTTAACCCAAATCATTTTGTTTTACATACGATTCAAAGCGTGAAAAGTGTAGCTCTCGGGAAGAAAGATTTTGTAATTAAATATGTGTAAATAAATATGTTGAATAGTATTTATGTTAATTTGCTACTGGCTACAGGAATAATTAACAGATACAAATTTTTTTTATGAGGTACCTATTTTATTGCATTAATCCAATCTTGTAGCGTGGCCTATATAATTTTCCAGTATTTTATTTATACTTTTATTCATCTATATTGTGCGAGACCGGTCTACATTCAATTTTTTGCCTTTACTTCTTACGACAAGAAGAAAAGTGCATTTTTATTTTGCATTAAGCGAGACGGATCCCGATCATATTATGTTACTTTATCTATTTCTATATTGAAATTAAGCTCTTGTGTAATTGAGCTGGTCTATAGGCATAAAAGACGTCTCTTAATTAACGATTTAATTTTTAATTAAAGGAAAATGCTACAAACATTTTTGAACTAAGTAAATTGATCTCTAGAGAAAAGACGTTCTCTTTTTTCCATAGATCGTCTCAATTTACATTTGCATCTCAATTTAATGTGGCATTTTCTTCTACGACCTCTTTAATACTTCTTTGCTCTTGGTCGTGAAAAGCGTATTCTGAAAAAAAAAAGAAAGAAAGTTGCGTTTCTACTGGAGCCGTTTGTATAAAGCAAGGAAAAGTTCAGTCTATTTATTCTCATGCTAAAAATAAGGAGGCGAATTATATCTTCCTGTATATTAAAGAGAGAGAAAGAGAGAAGAGAAGAAAAGAGAAGGTATGCAAAAAGAAAGAAAGAGACGATAAAGAGAGAGAAAAATACGGAGAAATGTCAGAGGCATGTCTTCGCGCATGTATAAAATTCCGAGCGAATGTCTCACACCAAATAGAAATGCGTATTTTTTGAATGAGACATCTCTCAAAAAGAGAGATATAGCTTCTAGCTCGCGCACGCCAGATACGCGTGTGCGTACACTCGATTCGTCGGTGATAGTCTGGCCTTTCGCCACCCAATTTAGTCGTACCAATCGCATTTATCATAGAGGGATGTGTAGTCTTTGTTGTTAAGGCAAATTCGAGATGGAAGCAAGAGAAAGAAGAAATATGCAGAATCGTTCGTTTAAGAAGCAAGGATCATAAACCGTAGAATTTCGGTGAGTTCAATTCTTGATGTTGAAGAAAGATACGCCAAATTGTCGCTTTTCGATTATCATCAGTAAAGATATAAAAAATTTCGACTTCACCTAAATTTTACCGGTTTTAGATCCTGTATTTGGGAATTAAGGCAAAGTTTTCCAAAGCTAAGCTTCTTCAGGTACTTAAAGAGAAGGGGAGATGAGAAAAAAAAAATGATAAAATAAATAATCCGCTTTACACTGGCCGTTAAGCGATAACTTAAGAGTTTTTGTATCGTATGTTTGTTAAGACTACTGTTTTTTTGTCACTCAACACCCTACCAGTATTCGAGAGAAAGAGGGCGAAAAAGAAAAGCAAGAGAGAGAGAGAGAGAGAGAGAGAATGTGCGAGTGTTATACGTCACTTTAGTATCATTAAAATGAGCGACGTATATAATAAAAACGAAGGGGGATAAATATGCTAATGCGAGCGAATAAAGGGTGGAGAAGAAAAGATGTGAAACGAAGAAGAGACTCGGAAGAGACAAGCGAACGGCCATACGTTGCAAAACGTATATTCATTAAGCTACGTAATGTCGTTTAGCACAAAACAGTCGAAACAATTTGAGCGTTCAGAGTAAGTACTAATGAGGAGAAGTACTAATGAGAGTAAAGAACCGAGAGAGTACGCGAAAGAAGTTTATAAAAACGTGACGTGAAATATTAATTATGAATGGAGATCGGACGGAGATCGGGTACAGTCATCTTTGAAGACGACGCGAAAAGAAGCGCTCCTGTGTACATAACGCGAATAATAGAAGAGACGAGATATAAACACATTTCGCGAGAAGGGAACATTTCTAGATACGGTACACTACCGCTATACATATGCACTGTAAGAAAAATTGTATCAAGTGTCTCTCGAGAGCGACGCGCGCTGCGAAAGGGTGCCCCTTCGTGATATATTTCGCGAGAAGGGACTTTTCTCTGAATTTGAGTTGCGAAATTGAAAGGCTTTTATGTAAAGGGAATCATGCTTCCCATTCTTCGATTAATCAATGATATAATGATTACTTTGTGTTGAAGAAATATTTTTTTTTTTTTTTTTTTTTGGAGTCCTCATGCACACAATGTTATTCATATTTGTTGTTATTTATAGAAACAGCGAGATATACGTTACAAATTATTCTTATAATAAAGTAGCATATTTTTTCTTTCTCTAAAAAAAAAAATAATTTAAGTTTATTTTTTCATTTAGATTTGGATAAAGGCATTTGATATCTTTTATATAAAACCCGTTCAGCCGATATTTGCGTGTATATTAAGCAAAAAATCGATGCACAAATTGCAATTGTGACTGACGTGGGAAAAGTTTTCTGTATAATGAAGTAGTAACGAAGCAGTCTGTCGTATTTTGCTCGCAAAAAAAGAGGACGCTCTGTAAATAGGGCTTTATTTCGCGAAGCGACTTCGCAACTTTTTTCATCGTATTGCGCTTATTTTTTTCGTGGATCTTTGTCTCGTAGCTCAGCTAATGACTAAAAGTGCAGTGTCTTATTTCTGACCTTGTATTTACATTAAATAGCTTTTACATGATAAACGAATAAAATTCCAAGTTACATGGTCAGATATGGCACTAGATACGCGATAGAAAAATATAATTTATTTTCCATTAAACTCATTCAAGCTAAATTATAGTGCGATTAAAAGTGATTCTTTTGTTGTACAAAATTTTAAGCAACATCTATCCAGAATTTAGAATAGTTCGCATTCCTTTAATTATTTTCTATGTGTATTATATCAGAGTAGAATTTTGTTTAGAAAATTTTTCTAAAAAACTAGCAAAGAAATTGTAATATCATATATTTATATATATATTACTTTTGTGTATATGAAGTAATTATATGTCTATGTTATAATATTGAGAGAAATTTTTGCATTATTGCTATCGATAAAAAGTTTACAAAATTTACATACGTTACGAGAAATTAGAATTTAAGCATTTGTGCATTTTTTATCCTTAATACTTTACAGAAAATGTACAGACAAAGTGCGATGCGAAAAGCTGCAGAATCGTTTTGCGATGAAAGGATCGGGTTTTAGTAATGTATCATGATCCACTGGTGGAAATTGTAAAATCGCACACAGCAGTAGTCGCCCTATCCTATGAACTTTATTTCTGTGGAGATTGTAAAGGACGAAAGAGAGAGAGAGAGAGAGAGATGAAAATACTCCGTGGATATGACTGTACAGCGTATTAACTTGTCCGGAGATACATATATCGAGGATCCTTTTTCAAAACTGAAGTATTAAGGATTGCATATTGTACATAAACAAGACATATTTTCTATATAAGGAACGTCGTTCGGTTAAAAGGCCGATGGCTCGAAAAAAATACTGCAATATTATGATAATTCTTTCAAGCGGTAGGATAGCCTTTAATCGTTTTATGTAATGTAATGATAGAAAGAGGGTCTGGCAGAATAAAAGTGAAAGTTCTGTATTTAAACATCTTGTCGGTGTATATTCATTCGCATATACAGGTATACACACACACACACACACGCATACATACACATATCGCATCGCCAAATGCGAGCAATTCAATGATCAGGAGCATTTAATTGTAATTAATAGCTCGGAGAAGCTTCGGATCGTAATTTTACGCTACGAAAATTATCGGCCTTAAGTTAATTGATAAATTACGTCGTCTATGTTGCCTCCAAGTGATTTAAAAACAAGATTTTTTTCTTGTATATCATATCGCAAGATGGAGAGTAAAGTTGTGCAAGAGAAAATTTGAAGATTTAGTAATTTAACAAATTCGGTTATTCCTTTTAGCACTCTGATGTTAATGATCTCAGAACATGGGACTTAAACGATCTAAAAATGTAATATATGGAAATTAACGAATAGAATCTATTTATTGTATAATCATTTATATATTTATTAGCTTGTACATTAGATACTATATAGTTTTTCGTTTTTCTTGGAAAAGATAAAATATGTTGAGAATTACATTTCTTTTTCTTTTAAAGTTTTTATCACTTATACACATATAAATAAGACAGTTACAGCTGAAAGAAAGTTACATCTAATATTCATATATATAAGAAACATATTTATTATCATTATATATACATCAAGTATTCTCCAAACTGTTAGTATTTTCATGCTCTTTACGTTGACTTTCTACCTCCTACAACAAAGAGAACAAAATACTGAATTATCGTAATTGAATATCAAATATAAAAGTAATAGTAAAAAAAATTGCTTTTTGCAAGCGTATTTCTTCAGCAAAAACATACCCTTTGAATAAGATCCAATAATGTGACATTATCACTCGATTGGAAAAATTCGCTGATCTCTTGTGGAATGCAAAAGTGTGTAGGAGGCTTTGGTTGAATACCTATTTCCTCTCCGATAAAACGAAACTCTGGTGTGTCATTAATATGATTTTGTAATTCCTCGTACGTAAAGAGCGTTCCTTTCGTAGACGATGCATTCATCGGACCGAAATCTATTATTTTTACTTTGTCCTTTTTACGTCGTACGACATCGAAAGAATCTATAAGAGACAAACTCTATGAATGATACGATTATACGCATTCGAATCTCGTTATTAATTTTAATGCTTACTTACAATTACACAAGGGAAATTTGCCTTTGATGCGCTCTGAAAACAAGCTCTTGATGTCTGTCTGTATACTATATTTTTCTGACTCATTGGAACTGTGGTACTGCGATATATCTCTCTGACTTATAGCTGCATAAAATGCAATTTGTTATAGCCAAAGTTGACTTTGTAATAACAGGCAGAAACGCGGAAATAGTTGATATTGAATAAAATTTAATAGTTGAAGAAAAAAATTGAGTCGATAAATTACCAATGAGCTCATTGTCCATAACAAAGCAGCGAAATTCTGTGCAAGGGTTGATGTCTCGCCACTGCTTCAATACCAGGTAGAATGACAAAGAATTTTCGCTATCTCTCAAAGATTTTACAGTATTCAAATCTTTAGCAATTCTATCAGAACTCTTCAACAATAAATAGACTTCCTCCAAGGTCTTACATTTGAGAGTCTTTGTTGGCGCAACCCATGTTGCATCCTACAAAATAATTACAAACAACTGTAAATTATTGCAATTGCATTCTTATCATATTTATACAATTATTAAAATGATAATTATTACAAAAATATACATTATATTAAATGGATTATATATAATGGAAAATTTACAAATATTATTTGAACCATTAATAGAATAACTGATTTTGGAAAAAAATTTGATTTTTAATGCATATATCGCATTTCCTTTTTTTATATAGATGTACAAGTTTTTCGTATTTTTAGAAAAATAAATATTTTTAAAAAAAATTCAATTTTTTTCGGAGTAAATCATTCAACTGCAAAAAATAATAATATACAATGAAAGATAACTTACCGCAGGTGAGCTCCAATTAGTTTTGATGAATATTGCATCATATTCATCTAATACATCTTGTATTTTTTTACTGAATTCAGGAAATGTTGGTTGATAGTCCGTTTCCTACAATAATTAAAGAGATTATTTTATGAATTAGGTAGTTTTCTCCAATTATAATTCTGTCATTATATGTGCATAAATTTTTTTAAATAAAGAGGATAATGAACACCTCTTCTTCACCAGTCACTGGTGAACCGTCAGTCCATTCAGAATTCTCTGATAACGATCTCACCGCTTCGACAGGCAACACAAATGCGTCGTGCTCCAAATACTTTAAAACATCGTCAGGAATGTCGAGGATCGTAGCCTCCAAAGAATCTTTCTTGAATGTTGGATACCAACAGGAGAAGGAACATTCCGGTTTTAAATCGCTCACCATCTTCTTATATTTATATACAAATACTTTATCGTACTTTATTTAGAACGTTTTATAAAGAGTTTTCGCAAAATGACAAATGCTTTTACTCTCTCTGAAATTTGAAGTCTCTCAAGAAAATAGAGTAAGATGGGTGAACCTATCATTTATCAGGATTCAAGCCAGGAAAGTAAAAGAATAACTAGAAAGGACACCATATTAGACAAGAAGTGCACACCGTCTACGAAAGTTTCGAACTGTTTGATTGACCAATCAGAGCAGAGAAATCTTTGCCTCTTTCGTTCTGATTGGTCAATCAAACGATTCGAAACTTTCGTAATGTCAAATGGAACGTAAGAAAGATAAATGGAAAGGCTAAAGTAGAGAATCTATGTCACGAAAATAAATCGTGTTGATGAAAACGGGCATCTAACGTCAATGGGCGGGGT